CTGTGAATGGGAACTACCCCAGATGTGTCAGGAGCACCAAAGGCATGCTCACTTCTTCACTGGCTGGAGCTGGGTAAGATGGAAAGGAAATCCAAATCAAGACACTTTGCTGCTTCAGTTCTTTTATTGCATGTCACAGTCCAATGTGTCTCCATTTAAAGTCAGATATTTTGTTGAATGGCCACACCAGCTGCAGGCCCTTGGGTCAGAAGTCTTGATATCACCAATTGTTCATTTTCTTGATGGACTTCCATACTTCAGGCATTTGTGTGTAGCTGGTCAATTGTGAAGTTTTCAGAGTGGTGTAGAACCCTCTCTTTTTGGGACAGCTGGTTCTCCTTGTGCAGCATGTCCTGAAGCTGGCCTGTCTCCATCCTTTTTCTAAGTGTGTGAGGTCTTTTGTTAGGCAGCATAAAGTGAGAGAGGACTCCTAAAGAGGGAGAAAAACTCCTCCAACATTTGCTGAAACATGTTTGTAAACTGACCAAGATGTAATTGAAATGGCATAAAAAGACTGAAATTTATTTAATTTCTTGCCATCCGGCTTATGATATATGGTGCCTTCAATTGAGTTTAGAAGGAACGTTTATCATAGATCAAGAGGTGAGATGTGTGTTTTTTTGTGTGTGCGTGTGTGTGCGTGTGTGTATGGAGAGAGAGAGAGAGAGAGAGAGAGATGGAGTTTTTCTCTATTGCCCAGTCTGAAGTGTAGTGTTGCAATCTCAGCTCACTGCAACCTTGGTTTTTCTGGTTCAAGTGATTCTCCTGCCTCAGCCTCCCAAGTAGCTGGGACCACAGGCATGCACCACTACATCTGGCTAATTTATGTAATTTTAGTAGATACCAGGTTTCATCAAGTTGGTCAGGCTGGTCTCGAACTCCTGACCTCATGTGACCCACCCACCTTGGCCTCCCAAAATGCTGGGATTATAGGTGTGAGCTATCACACCTGGTTGGATAATTGAGTTTCTTATTATATCTGGGTTTCTGCAGAATTTTAGTGACTAAAGAATGTACACTAGTGTTAATTTTGTTTTTCTTTATAAAAGAAGTAATTTACTTTTTATATAATTACTTGCCAGTCATGGGAAGGAAAGTCCAAGCTTTTGCCCACAATGATAGGAATTATTTTTACATTACAGGATGACTCTGTGAATGCCTTTAGGAAAAATCCCTAGTCATATCTTGACCATTTTCCTAGCTGTGAGACCACCATTATATTGGTTACTGTAACATTTCTTGGTTTTCTTTCTAGACCTGAACTAGTTATTTGCTACTTCCCTCCTGGAATGGCTAGTAAAATAAACACTAAAGGTAAGAGATTACATGTACTTCTTATTATATTTTACTACATTAAGACATTCTTTATCAGCATGCCTGAAATCATACAGAATCATTGCCCAATGTCTTTGTGGGACTTGCAGTTAGTTTCTTGGCTTTTTAAAGTATTTTATTTAATGGACCCTTTTTTTCTTTTTCTTTCTTTTTCTTTTAATTTACTGAAAGTGCCACATGTGCAATTCCAGTTCATTTATGTTTCCAAGGCTTTGCTGAGCCCCTTGTGGAGGACTACACTGCAAGTTTAATTCTGCAGGTTTCTTTGAAAATCGCCAAATGGTATGAGTTTTATATTCTGCTCTTATAAAGCATCTTCTTCTGTATTTTTCTACAATATACTAAAGTAATTCTGTGCTTATTTTACAGCTTTGCAGTCCCCTAAAAGACCATGAAGCCCTGAGAGTAATGCAAAGATTCCTGAAATTGAGATCGCCATGGAAAATAAGGGCCAGTCTTTGGCATGTTTCTGTTGATTCTCCAGTTTATTAGTTATTTCAGTTCACTAGCTGTATGTTTATACAGATGAAGTTAACCAAACTAATTTCACATGTGCACAGCTGCCTGTGATAAAGCTAAATTTCTGGATGTTTTTAATTGACATTTTGAAAATCATTAACAGGAAATAAATAACATGAATCACCTTACAAACTGCACTCAAAAAAATCCCTAAAATGCTTTTTCTTTATTACAATAAATAAGGATGCAGAGGGTCACGTGGAATGTTTCTTCATCTTTTGTCCTCTTTGTTTTTTCTGTTCTTTTAAGGAAAGAAAGTTTAGGGATAGTTTAAACAGCAGTGTCTGGAATGAAAGCATTTCCTACAACACCCTCTAATGTATTTCCTTCTCTCCATGCTTATGGGGTCTGCTGTCATGTCTCCATCCAAGCAGGGCATATATAAGTAAAGAAAATGCAGTGTGAGCCCTGCCTG